GGGACCAGCCACTGCACTCCAGTCTGGGTGACGGACTCAAAAAAAAAAAAATAAAATAATAAAAGCTGTTACAGTAGGGTCAGAGAGAGGGCAGTGATGGGAGGGGCATACTGGGGGCTTCTTGGCTGCAGTGAGCTGTGATTGTGCCACTGCATTCTGGCCTGGACAGCAGAGTGAACCCTGTCTTTGTAATAAAAGCAGTTATGGTGGGGTCAGAGAGAGGGCAGTGGTAGGAGGGGCACATTGGGGGCTTTTTGGATGCTAGCAGTGATCTTTCTCGACCTGATGTTGCAGAGGTCTCTGCTTTATCTTTATTAAGCGGGACACTTACTTTATGTCTGCTTTATGCACATTGTAGTTCTCCAAAATTTTTATTTTTTTTTTTTGAGTTGGAGTCTCACTCTGTCGCCCAGACTGGAGTGCAGTGGCCACTCCCGGCCACCGCAGCCTCACCTGCTGGGCTTTGGCGATCCTTCCGCCTCAGCCTTCCGAGTAGCCGGAATTACAGGCACGTGCTACCACGCCCGGCTAATTTTTTGATTTTATTGTAGAGATGAGGTCTCGCCGGCCCAGGCGGGTCTCGAACCCGCGGGCTCAGGCAGTCCACTCACCTCAGCCTCCCAAAGGCGTGGGATTACAGGCTGAGCCACCAAACCCAGCTGTTCTCCAAAATGTTTTAATGAGGGAAAATGAAAGGCTTCACGTGAGCCCTGACATAAGTCCTCGTGGGGCTTTCTTAATGGGGCTCGACAAAGAGGAGGTGGCAATTCTGCTGGTCATGATGCCACTCGCAGTTGGGCTCTAACAGGGACTTTGGGGTCCAGAGTAGGCATTAAGTGTACAAGCTGGTGGGAGGAGCGGGAGGGGGTGTGTCTGTGGCAGAGAGGCATGGGCACAAGAGGAGAATGTGAGGCGGGCCTAAATGAAAACAGCAGACATCACCACCCCGCATTCAACCAGAATTCGTGTGTTCAGCAGCATCACTCCCAGGCTTCCTCCACATACAGGAGCTGGTCCTGTGTAGCAAGCAGCTGCAATTTGTTTCATGATCACCCAGAAATAACCTTTTCATTTTCCAGAATCCTCAGTGAAAACTCCATAACTGAGTTACGGAAAGATACTTTTGAAGGCCTGCTGTCTCTGCGATATTTGTAAGTTAGTTAACCATATTTATTAATGAGTTTTCAATTCTATTATCTATAAAATGAATAAGGGGTTCAAATCAGATAGACTCCAAGTTTTCTTCCAGCAATAAAACTGCAATTCTGTAAGTCTCTGCAAGGTCCCACCCATCTCGAGCCTTAAATACATCCGATGAATTTTCAGTTTTAAAAATTGTACAGATGAGATACAGTCAGGAACACGCTTCACAGGTGAAGAGATCTGAGTAATGATTGACCCCCACGCGAACCTTATTTCGTGTGTTTTCATGCACCATCTCCTTCTGTGTGTATTTAGTCTCCAGCCCGTAGATCAGATCAAGCTGCAGTCTGTTCTTATACAGCTCACACGTTAAGAATGGTTTTCAGGCCAGGCTTGGTGGCTCAGCCTGTAATCCCAGCACTTAAGGAGGCCGAGGCAAGAGAATTGCCTGAACCCGTAGGTTCAAGACAAGCCTGGGCAACTTGGAGAGACCTCATCTCCACAATAATTCAAAAATTAGCCAGGCGTGGTCGTGCGAGCTTGTAGATCCAGCTACTTGGGAGGTTGAGGCAGACGTATCGCTGGAGCCCAGCAGGTCGACGCTGGTGTGGCCATGAGAGTGCTACTGCACTCTGGCCTGGGTGATGGAGTGAGACTCCAACCCAAAAAAAATAATAATAAAAATAAAAAAGAATGGTTTTAAAGGACTGTAAAAGAAAGTAAGAACATGCCACAGAGACCATAAGTGACCCACAAAGCCTGAAGCATTTGCTATCTGGCCTTCACCAAAAGGATTTGAGTGAGAGGAAGTAAAGTTAACTTCAGATTGTTGCCTAATGGAGAAGAAAATATAGACCACCTCAATTAATTTTACTGTATTAATCCAGAATGTTTGATAATTTAATCAGAAATAAATTGACATTTAATATTAAGTAATTAAGCAGATGAATTATATAAACAATATTATGAAGAATATTAAGTTACCAAGAGAATGACTGGTATTAGGATGTCATGGCAGGAATTTTTATATTAAAAATAGATGTTTAAGGTCAGGCACGGTGATTCATGCCTGTCATCCCAGCACTTTGGAAGGCAGAGGCAAGAAGATTGTCTGAGCCCAAGAGTTCAAGACCAGCCTGGGCAACTTGCAAGGTCTCTCTTTACAATAAATCAAAAAATTAGCTGGGCATGGTGGCAGGTGCCTGTAGTCCCAGCTACTTGGAAGGCTGAGTGGGAAGATTGCCTGAGCCCAGCAGGTCGAGGCTGCAGTAGCCGTAAGCGTGCCACTGCCCTTCAGCCTGGGCGACAGAGTGAGACTCCGACTCAAAAAAAAAAGGAAAAAAATCGGTGTTTAAAATGATAGTGAAGTGATAGAACTGGAAGCGTTTGCACTAAGTGAGGAAATCAGAAATGCCCAACTCTTCACAAAATGCCCCAACTAATCATAAAATTAAACTCTCCAGCCTTGTCGCCAAGGAGGGAACACCTGCCTAGTATTTCTGCCTGTTTAGAGTTAGGAAGATACTATGTTTTTAGCTATGAAAACTTGATCTGTATCCCTTGTCTGTGGGGTCCAGAGGTGTGTAAGTCATTAATCCTCATTAAACTAATGAATGGTGCCTTTGAGCAAATCGATATTTCAGATGTAGAAGGCTTAAGGGAGTGGGACTTGGGCAGTCCTTTGATTTTTCACATCTTTGAGGCCTTAGGGGTTGGTCCCTTTGGACTTGGGCACCTCTGCCATGTTTGGGGAAAAGCCAACGAGATGACTGCTCAATGGAGTAGGCCTGTCATTGCTTCTGTGATGAAATACTTTGTAAGCGAATCATTTCATGTTAGCACACGTAGTCTCATTTATTAAAGAGAAATGCCAATCAATTTAAAAAGCTCAAAAGGGATATGCCAAGCACTGTGCCTAACCTGGGGGACTCAGAGAGGAGAAAGACAAGGTTCCTCCCCTTCACCAGGGAACAAACACAGATGCTAAACCCATAGCAGCCCGTAGCACTGAGTGGGTCGCAGAGTGTGGCAGAGAGGCAGAAAAGGGGCCACGGACTAACACACTCATTGCTTTTAAAGCAGTCCTTTTCCTTCTACTCGCTTCCAGCTTCCTATTGTCTAAATATTTGAGTTTATTTCCATCTTAAACATGGAGGGCAGGGCAGGCGAGCAAGACCCAGTCCATGCTCTCAAAGTCTATGCTGAGAAGAAACACGATGGCAAAATAATCGCATTAAAACAAGAACTAGACCTAGGCCCAAGGGGGATATGCTGCTTCTGGAGCCGAGAAGAGGGCACAGACTTCTGTTTGGATCAGGGGAAGGTGTTATTATCACGCTGCTATGAAGATCGCTGCTTCATATGAGAAGCAATGCCTTTTTACCAAGGCCTTGAAGGGCCACTGGGTAGCATCAGACAACCCTCTTGGGGAGAATACTCTAAACTTGCAAAAGGAAAACGGAAGAAGGGGAGAAGGCATTTGAGGAATGCCATGAATCCCTGTAGAGTCCAAGGAGGAGGAACAGGAGTCTGGAGCCAGATCTTCCAGGGCAAAGGAGCCGTCCTGGGACACATGTTATCCCAGCACTCCTTTAACACAGACTTGAGCCTGCATCTCTTTTTTTTATCAGTTGGAGTCTCACTCTGTTGCCCAGACTGGAGTGCCATGCCCGCTCCCGGCCACCACAGCCTCGACCTGCTGGGCTCCGGCAATCCTTCCACCTCAGCCTTCCGAGTAGCCAGAATTACAGGCACGCACTACCACACCCGGCTGATTTTTTGATTTCTTGTAGAAATTAGGTCTCGCCAAGTTGCCGAGGCAGGTCTCGAACCCGTGGGCTCAGGCAATCCACTCACCTCAGCCTCCCAAAGCACGGGATTACAGGCTAAGCCACCAAGCCCGGCTGAGCCTGCATCTCAGTCACCTGGAGGGCTTGTTAGAACTCGGTTGTCTACTCCACCCCAGTTACTGCTTCGTTCAGGCTGGGGCAGTGCCAAGAATTTGCATCTTCAGCAAATACCCAGGTGATGCTGGTTTTGAAAACCAGTTCTGGAGAGTTCTGGTGCCTGTGTGCAGGATGAATTGGAGAGGGAGACTGAGATGGAGACACAGTCAGACAACAGTCATGCCATCCGGTGAAGATGGGGGTGAGCTGGAGTCACTGCAAACAGCGGCTATTCTAGTCACTAATGGGGGTTTTCACATCACAGTCTAGTTCCATGTTGTTTTCTGGTTGTCCCACCACTGGACAGCTGAAAAACTTGCTTTCACGGGATATTAGGGCAAGATAAAACCAACAATGAGCTTCTGTTAATACGATAGGAATTAATTACGTTAATATGATTTGAATTATTTCCAAGTTAGGTATTAGTGGGGTAACTTCCTTTCAAATGACGTGAAAGCATAGCTTGTATTTCTTCTAGTATTAAACTGACTTAGAGAAACAGAACTAAACCAGAAAAGTATATTATTGTGAGAATATGCCTTTTAATATTAGAAATTATATAGAGAGATAAAAACCTTGGGATCATAATCTAGAATTTCATGAGACTACAAAAGGTCATCCAATCAAGTCTCCTGATGTTGGGAATCTCTCAAGATGTGTGTAGAGGGAAATATTTTATTTATGAAAAGCATGAAGGTGAGACTCCAGGAGAGGTGCAGGCAGGTCAGGGCTCCAGGAAGCTCAACACAAGTCCAAATGCTTAGAGTTTAGACAGACTGTGTGTTCCATTTTATCATCCCAAACTCTACTGTTTATTCTTCCTAATTTGGTTTCCAATAGTGAATCAAGGTAATACTTTCTTTGTCCTTTTCCTAGAGACTTATCCTGCAACAAAATACAATTTATCGAAAGAGGGACATTTGAAGCACTACCATTCCTGCAGGTCGTGTAAGTTACAGACATGACTTCATTATATTTGGAACTTTTATAAAATGTATTTGTAAACCTTTTTGCTATTCACTTTGAAATACGCATAGTGTTACTAGTAGAAAGTTACTGGAATTATATAACAAGTCCTTTTGGTCTCTAGCAAAAATTAATGAGATCACAGGTCACAGAGAATCATTGTAGACAGTGGTTCCCAGCCAGTGTGGTTTTGCACCCAGGTGACATCTGGCAACGTCTGGAGACAGTTCTGGTTGTCACCGCTGTGGATGTGCTCCTGGCTTCTGAGGTGCAGAGGCCAGGGATGTTGCTGAATACCCTGCAGAGTCCAGGACAAACCCCACAACAGAGAACTGCACAGCCCAAAAGACCAGTAGCACTGAAGCTGTGAAACCCTGCTCCAGAGAAATAACAATGATGAACACGGATGCTTCTGAGCATTCACTGTTGTGTAGCTCATGCACCCCACATGTAAATATGAAAGTATGAGTCAGAAGCCAGTCCTTCTGGTGAGATTTCCTTGGTGTGTGGGGAAAGTCCTGAGGTCACGTTTCATCACATATAAATTAGGATCCCTGCCAAATGATGAATGCTCTGAAATAACACCTTTTCCCTTCTTTGCTTGTTTCCTTTTTTGTAGCAATCTGAGCTGCAATTTACTTACAGAAGTGAGCTTTGGAGCATTCCAGGCCTGGCACAACATGCAGTTTTTACAAAAACTGTAAGTGAAATAGAAGACGAACACATGTAAACAACTGTTGATGTGTAAAAATCTCATCCAGCTATTGGTTAGCAGGGTAGAAGCCCATTATGAACTCTGAAAAGCATGTCTTGAGATTCACTCATTTTTTTCAAATGAGGAAACTGAGACACAAAGAGGCCATGGGGCTTGTGCAGCGCATGTATGATGTGTCTGCTTTCCCTGGTACTGGTCTTTGGCCTGGGCAAGAAAAAGCACCAAGCAAGTAACCCTCAGGTGAGCACTGTCAGGGGAGGCCCATGATGCTGCTCTGACATGGATGATCCTTGAAATTCCGCTTTTTAAACTGAACTTCGATTCCAGCTCACATGCAGGGTTTCCAACGACTTAAGTGTCTGCAAAGAAGGAAGTCTGTAGCTTCTAGCTGCAAAGAAGGAAGCTTATCGCAGAGTCCTCCTGGGAGCAAAGGGTGCTGGGTGCCTTCTTGGTGTCTGTTGCTTTTAAACAGTAAAGCACAAAGAATTCCTGAAACCCTGCACTGGGCACTTCTCTCCCCAATCGCCCAGAACGTTATTTTTCAAAAAGTGCATACCTATGAAGCTAGGAGTGATCTATGGGCAATGGGAACCCTCGCAGTGTGGGAAAACGGTGTTCATGTTAAGCTATAGTGCAGAACCATTCACAAAGAAAATGGATGGCTCTAGCCTAATTCCACAGACTTCTTTCCCGACTGCCCTTCAACAAGAAGTGTGCGTTTCAGTCGCTTTCAGCTCACAAATTCCATGATTTCTCTGTGATGACAGCAAATCAGAGTGGGTATGAATGGCCACTAACCTCGAGGTGAAGATTCTCCTCTGAACTTGACTTTAGAAAGCATGGTCCTCCTGTCTTGGGCTTCAGAAGCCTGGTTTCACAAGCTCCCTGTGAGCTGGAGAGAGGGGCTAGGGTGTGCCAGAGCCAAGAGAGCAATGGTTGCAGAGGCCTATCTACAGCAGCCTCCTCCCTCCCCTCATTCACTTGCTGGTGCCGGACTCCGGGACAGGACACTGACGGTCTCGGTTTCGTTTGCCCTGGCACCAGAGAGCAAGCTCGTTAGGTCCCTCACCTGATGAGACAGCATCAAGTGTGTTACACTCTCCACCTTTACAAGGGTTTTACGACACCAAGAGTCCCTCTTAAGAATCATGTGTCACTATAATTATGTAGACAACACCAGAAAGAAAAAAAAACCCAAACCATGGAATCACAGTGGAAAAAAATGAATGAGTTCATTCAAAAACATCCGCACGTGCCGTGCCCCTTGTGTGCCAGGCACTGGACTAAGGGCTGGGGATATGAACTGGAATAGGGCCTCACCCCCTGGTGCTCTACAGATTGCCATGGTCCTTTCTGGTAAATCGAGATGTCACCCACATACTATAAGATGCCGCCTCACAAGGTGTGCAATTCAGTAGTGGTAGGATATTCACGAGGTTGTGCAACAACCACCATTTTGTCATTCTCTAGTTACAGAACATTTTCATCACCCCTAAAAGTTAGCCATCGCTCCACATTTCTCTCTTCCCCCAGGCCTGGGCAACTCCTAATCTACATTCTGTCCCTATGGATTTTCCTGTTCTGTACATTTCATATGGATTTTCCTGTTCTGTACATTTCAACAGTAGGTGGCCTGTTGCTTCTGTCTTCGTTTCACACGGTCTGTTTTCAAGGTTCATCACAGGGAGTTTCTCTTGTGTTCTCAAAGTCCTGGTAAACATCCGATCTGATCCTTTCACTTGGAGATTCTTTTTTTTTTGCACCTCTAATCAAGTCAGCATACACTTTTTCCAGGGATTTTGCGTTGCAACTAGTGTGAATAATTCTAATTCATGAAACCTCTGGTTCCATGGGTGTTTTTCTGGTATCTTTAAAAGGCATGGCTGTGAGCTGGGTGCAGAGGCAGTTGCCTGAAGTCCGAGCTACTCTGGAAGCTAAGACAGAAGGGTTCCTTTAGCCTACAAAGTTTGAGTTCATCCTGGGCAACATAGTGAGACCCCATCTCTTTAAAAATTATTATGTTTTCAATAACAGGTTCATTTTTTTAGAAAAGTCATGGCTGTGGCACGGCTTCCTAACCAACTTGTTCCTGGGCCAAAATGAACATCAGTGAGTCAGGAACAGGAGCCAGGGACTAGAACTCCACAGCACCTGTAGCCGTGTCATCCTCCGGTCCTTTTTATAGACTCTGTTGAATTTGGCTTGCTAGTATTTGTTGAGGACTTTTGCATCTATATTCATAAGAAATGTTAATCTGTAATTTTTTTCCTTGTAATGCATTTGGTTTAGGAATCAGGGTAATATCAACCTCATAGAATGAGTTAGGAAATGTTCTTTCCTCATTTATATTTTGAAAAACTTTTATGAAGAATTGGTGTTAATTCTTTAAATATTTGGAAGCTTCACTGATGAAGCCATCTGGTCCTGAGCTTTTCCTTGTGGGATGTTTCCTTCCTGCTCATACAGAACCTCAGATCAGCCAGGAGTAAGAGTTTAGGGACTTTTCAGGTCTTTCTGACCATGCTCACAACCCTATGTATGTGCATGACCATCCAGACTCCCAGGAACATGTCTCATGGTCTTCCAGGTTCCCAAAGATATGTGGGAATCTTACAGAACTCCTATGGACATCTCATTCCTTGGTTTTTCCTGTCAAAAATTCTGATTATGCTCTTTTGTTTATTTGTTTGTTTTGAGTTGGAGTCTCACTCTGTCACCCAGACTGGAGTGCAGTGGCCACTCCCGGCCACCGCAGCCTCGACCTGCTGGGCTCCAACGATCCTTCCGCCTCAACCTTCCAAGTAGCTGGAACTACAGGCGCGCGCTACCACGCCCAGCTCATTTTGATTTATTGTAGAGATGAGGTCTTGCTAAGTTGCCCAGGTGGATCTCGAACTCGCGGGCTCAGGCAATCCACTCACCTCAGCCTCCCAAAGGTGCGGGATTACAGGCTGAGCCACCAAGCCCGGCTTCTTTTGTTGTTTTGTTCCAACTGTTATCCATCACCTCATGTAGCTGCTGTGTTAAAACACTTGCCTGTAATTGTTTTCCCAAAACACCCACTAGGGAGAGACTTCAGCACTAGACAGCTCTCAGTCAGGTCAAATAAGACAAGCCTTTCAAGTGGGGTCTTCCAGGGAACCACCACACAGGTGAAACAATGACAATTCATTGGGAATGAGGCTTTGAAGGAGTCCCAGCTCCATTCTGCTCACTCTGGCACTGGGGATGTGGGCTGCTTTTCAAGGCTCCTATGGAGCTGGAGAGTAAAAAATGGTCTAGGGCAAGTTAAAACAACACAAATCTCACTGTTCTTACAGAAAGTTTCTTGAATAAATGCCCCTTGGGTTAATAAATGCTGTTAAGACTTTGGTTACATTTCCTGAGTTCTGAACAAGTTGGTTCTGGCCCATTTTTGCTTCTTTTTTTTTTTTTTCTGGTTGCTTTTACAAAGGGATGGATCTTCAGGTGTCCCTACTCCATCATTTTCTCTGATGTCACCTATAGCATGGGTTTAAATCTCTTAAGTGTCTATGACCATGGACTAGTTAAATATTTAATTATGGGAAATGATTAGGGAAAAGAAATAAAAAGAGAAACTGTAGTTCTTATAGAGGCTCTCTGAGATAAAGAAGGTGAAGGTTACAAAGGCATTTCTGTATTTGGTCCTCTCAGAATCAAGGTTAAAGTAGCAGCTCTTTTAAATCCCTTTTCTTCATTCAGGGTAAGCACAGACTTTGTGTTTCTGACTTCAAATTCCAACTTTGCTTCTTAGCAGTTTACTGACTAGGACAAGTTATAGAACCTCTCTGTGCCTCAGTTTCCTCATGTTAAAATGGGGTAATGGTATTATCTACCACATAAAGTTATTGTGAGGATTAAATGTGAAATGCTGATCACAGCTGCCTGGCAGCCCAATGGATATAGCTGTCATGATAATTATTGTTTTTATAATGTTCTGCAAAAGTACACTAATGATTCTTGAGCTAACCAAAAGGCAGATTTTGTTTTCTTTCTTCCTGTTTCTTTTCTTTTCTTTCTTCCTTTCTTTCCTTGTTTGCTTTAAATAATTGAAAAGAAAATATTCCAGCATCTTGGAATAAAAATTTTTAACAAAAATGAACTTTTTATTTTATAGATATATAAACAAAATGTTATTTATTTATTCAACAACACTTGTGAAATACCTAGTAAATTTCAGGCGCTATGCCAGGCACAGGGATGACAATGACAGCAGGTGTGGTTCCTGCCCTTAAGGAGCTGACAGTCTAAGAGACTGGCAGAGAACAGGCGATTCCATGCACTGTGACAGAGGCAGTGGTGTGACACGGAAGACCAGCAGGAGTGTGTGAGGGGAGGGTGGCTTCATCTGCTCTTCCTCTTAGATTTATCCCTTTTTCTTTGTCTCTAAAGCCAAGGAATTGGTACTGTTTTTTTCTTAACTGGGTGGATAAAATGATTGTTTTTTTTAATTTATAAAGATTAGCCAGCCATGGTAGCTCACACCTGTAATCCTGGCACTTTGGGAGGCGGAGACGAGAGGATTGTCTGAGCTCAGGGATTCGAGACTAGCCTGAGCAACATGGCGAGAACTCGTCTCTACAGTAAATCAAAATATTAGCCAGGAATGGTGGCGCATGCCTGTGGTTCCAGCTACTTGGAAGGCTGAAGCAGAAGGATCACTTGAACCCACCAGGCTGAGGTTGTCACTGCACTCTGGCCTGGGTGACACAGAGAGACTCCAACTCTAAATAAATAAATAAATAATTTTAAAAAAAGTTTATAGAGATGAAAGATGGCACCTTGAATTATGGAGAACACTAAAAATAGTGTTTCCTACAGAGCAAAGGCTTCCTATCAGCATAGTCATTTCTGGGGGTTTTACCTGAAAAGTTCTTTGGCATATTTTTTCTTTGCTATAATTTTTTTTTCTTCCTTTCTTTCTCTTCTTCACTCCATCTTCTAGAGACCTGGGTAGTTCCCAAGGGAAGAGTGCTTTTCGGAGTCTATGGGTGATATATAAGTAAAGACAGAAAACCTTTTTTAACCTACTAGTTCCACACCAAAAAAAAAATAGATACTTTCTGTGCAGTTTCATGCATATTGAAAATGTAGATAATTTTAATTCCATTGCATTTCTCAGGATTTTAAGTAAGAATCCACTGAAGACCGTGGATGATCCGCACCTTTTTAGATTACCAGCATTAAAATACACGTAAGTATTCCAGTGATCGCTTAAGCCATGAGATGATTTCGGCTCTTCTTTTTTACTTTCATCAAAGATTTAAGTATTTTGCATTTTGGCTAAAAAGTTGTAATTTAAATTTTAACTGGTTATTGAAAAAAAGTTATTGGCAAAGAAAAGGATTTCAAAGGATATATATTGGCTGAGTGTGGTGGCTCACACCTGTAATCCCAACAATTTGGGATGCTGAGGTAGGAAGATTGCTTCAGGCCATGAGTTCGAGACCAACCTAGGCAGCATAACAAGACCCCGTCTTTATTTAATAAAAAAAGTAAATAAAAGTGCAGGTCTCTGCCGGGTCACAGGGCTCCAGATGATCTCTGGTTCTACTGCCACCAGTTCCAGCTGGGGGAGGCAGAGTGTGAGACAGCTGGGAGCTGAAAAAATAAATAAATAGATAAATAAATCAAAGATACCTGCACACATGTTTATTGCAGCATTGTTCACAATAGCAAGAACATGGAACCAACCGTGCTGCCCATCAAAAGAGGACTGGATTTTAAAAATGTGGAACATATACACAATGGGCTATTACACAGCCGTAAATAAGAACAAAATCATAAACTTCGCAGCAATCTGAATGGAATTAGAGTCTATAATACTGAGTGATCTTTCACAGAAACAAAGAACTAAGTATCACATGTCCTCACTCATAAGTGGACCTTGAACAACTATCATAATACTGTAAGAAAGGAATTGATAGTAGCGGGAAACTGTAAGGGGTTTGAGGGGGTGGGTATGTGGAATTGTCGGTAGTCGAAATCTGCCTGGGCAAGGGGGGCACACCTCATCAACAAGGGAACCCGCACAATGAATGTTTGTGTACCTAATCCTGAATTGTACCCCACAATTTTAAAATAAAAAAATTAAAAAAGTAAAGAAAAGAGATGACTAGGAGGGGAAGGGAGCAGTACTGAAGGACACACATAAATGTGGAACATGGGCACGTGTAAGAATATGGATTATGGGGGAGGGGGATAGGATTAACAGTCGCAAATATCTGTCTGGGGATGGGGAAACACCTCTTAGCAGGGTGCCTGAACGAAACATAATTGTACACCTAACCCTTAACTGTACCCCACAAAATCATAATAAAAAATATTGATTAACAACAACAACAAAAAAGAATATGGATTATCCCAGAAAGCAAAGAGGCATAGGCGTTTATTTTATTTATTTATTTGTTTTTTTTATTTTTTGAGTTGGAGTCTCACTCTGTCGCCCAGACTGGAGTGCAGTGGCCGCTCCCGCCCACTGCAGCCTCAACCTGCTGGGCTCCGGCGATCCTTCCGCCTCAGCCTTCCGAGTAGCCGGAATTACAGGCATGCGCTACCACGCCTGGCTGATTTTTTGATTTATTGTCGAGATGAGGTCTCACTGCCCAGGCGGGTCTCGAACCTGCGGGCTCAGGCAATCCACTCACCTCAGCCTCCCAAAGGCGTGGGATTACAGGCTGAACCACCGAGCCTGGCTGCGTTTATTATTTTGAAAAGAAAAAACAGAGCAAGTAATCAAGAGAGGTGAACAAGGCTGGGCATGATCCTGTCACCTTGGGAGGCTAGGGCAGGAGAATCACTCAATTCCAGGAGTTCAAGACCAGCCTGGGCAAGACCTCATCTCTACAAAAAAAAAAGATTAACTGTTATGGTGGTGTGCGCCTATAATCCCAACTACTCGAAAGGCTGAGGTGGGAGGATTCCTTGAGCCCAGGAGGTCGAAGCTGTGGCAAGCTGGGATCATGCCACTGCCCTCCAGCCAAGGCAACAGAATGAGACTCCAAAAAACAGAGAGTTGAAGCAATATGAAAATGAGAAGCAAGATAATGGTAAAAGAGGGTATAGCTTCTACTAGTTAATATCACTTTTATTATGCAAATATACTTAAATTTCTTTAATAAGATCTCTCCGGAATTATCTCCTATGGCAAATAGGCTCCTGGGCTGGCTTGTTTTATACAGAAGCTCAAATTGAAGTAATCACATGTCCTTTAAATATCTTTTTAAGTACAGAATCTTTGTATTGGGGTTCACATCATGAATGTTTGGGCTTTCTCCTTCAGGGACGTGGGAGCCACACAAGTCCCAATGAAAATAATTGAGAACTTCCTTATGATGACTCCAGAATTGGAAAAACTGTAAGTTATTTTTTTCTTAGATTTGTTTTTTTAGGTTTGTTTTAATATTTTCTTAAGTCAGGTTCATTTGAGGTATAATTTTCATGTAATAAAATTTGCTTTTCTAAGGTGTACAGTTCGATGAATTTTGAGAAGTGTGGTTAGGTAGCTACCACCACATTTCTGATATAGAACATTTCCGTCACCCCAAAAAGGCCCCTCAAGTCCCTTTGTAGTCAGTCCCCTCCTCCTGCCACCAGCCCCTGGCAATCACGAGTCTGATTTATGTTCCTATAGAATGTCTTAAGAATGAAGCCATGTAGCCTTTTTGCGTCTGACTTTTTTCACTTAGCATACATTTTTGAGTTTATGCTATTACCCATGCTGTTGCATCTGTTAGTATAGTTGAGTCTTCATATCTGCAGGTTCCCTCTCCACAGATTCAACCAACCACAGATGGAGAATACTCAGAAAAAATATATATATTTTTTGAGTTGGAGTCTCACTATTGCCCAGGCTGGAGTGCAGTGGCATGCTCACAGCCACCACAGCCTTGACCTTCTGGACTCAAGGAATCCTTCCATCTCAGCCTTCCAAGTAGCTGGACTTACAGGCACATGCCCCCACACCTGGCTAATTTTTTTGATTTATTGTAGAAATGAGGTCTCACCAGGTGGCCCAGGCTGGTCTTGAACCCCTGAGTTCAGGCAATCCTCTCGCCTCTGCCTCCCAAAGTGCTGGAATTACAGGCATGAGCCACCAATACAACAATAGAAATGTAAATTTTAAACTATAGTGTAACAACTTTGTGCATGGCACTTACACCCTACCAGGTATTTTAAGTAATCTCGAGATGCCTTAAAGTATGCCAGAGTTTCTATGCAAATATTACGCCATCTTATACAAGGGACTTCAGCAGCTGCAGATTTTAGTATATGGGCGGGGATGTGCTAGAATCAGTGCCCCGCAGAGGACAGCTGTAGCTCATTCCTTTTTATTGCTGAGTAGTATTCCAGTGGTGTGGCTCTATCCAATTGTCCACTCATCAGTTTACAGACATTTGGGTTGTTTCCAATTTGTTGGCAGTTGTGAATAAAACTGAAAATACTCATGTGTTTTCATTTCTTGGAGTAAGTACTGAGGGATGG